ACGGATCCTGGACAGATGGCTTCTGGGACAGACGGATCCTGGACAGCTGCCTCGTGGGGCAGAGGCAGACATCTCCCACTTAACTTAATGCTCTCCAACATGTGCAGAACGTGGCTCCCCACAGCTCAGAATCAGAGGAGCTACGAGGAAACTGAGGATCCATGCACTGAAAGAACCTACCCAGAGTCACTCAGCTCTCTCAGCCTCTGAGGCCAGATCTGAACCCAAGTCTTCCCAGCCCATAATGATGGACTCGTCACACCACACTGACTCTCCTACGTCCAAACCTGAACTCACAACATACACCAACGCAGCAGCAGCCTCCCTGCTCTCTCCCCTGCCCCTCCCAGGCTCAGCTGGGGGCCTGCTCCCGTGGGGACCCTCACAGCACCCAAGGGGGCCCACCTCCGTCACTCTCAGTGAGACGAGGGCAGGGCAGGAGGCCCCAGCCTCAAGCTGTGGCTGTCTATCTCTGCCCCTGTCCTTGTCTCTGTCCTTGTCTCTGCTTCATCCTTATCTCTGTCCTTGTCACTGTCATGACCACGTCCTTTTCCCTGTCTCTGGTACTGTCCACAGCACCAAAAGAAGCAGTGACTTGCCCAGGGTCACCCAGCCAGGAGAAATGACTGTCGTGTCAGAAGCAGGGCTAAGCCCAGGTTACGCCCCACAGGCTGTAGGCCCCACATAACAAGATGACAAATAAAGCCTTCCTCTTCTCTGGGCACGTCCCCCCATGCCAGTGACTCAGGAGCCCAGCGGCCATCCTTCAAATGCCCTTCTCCACATGTAACGAGCTGCATCTTGAGTCTTTTCCACCTTCCTGCCCTCTCAGACCCTGCTCCCTGCTGCTGACATGGCTCGCTCCCTGGCCTTCCTGGGCAGCATGGGCTCGTCCCCCTCCCACATTCACCCTGGTGCTTCTGGCTTCTCCCCCTTCCTCACCACTCAGCGACCTCGCGTCCTCCAGGGTCTGCACTGGTCACACCTACCACCCAGTCAGAGGCCAGGGTCCCACAGGACGCACCCTTTCCTCCCTCCAGGAGCTCGGTACCAGCTCACAGACTTCTACCCCCCAACTCCTGCTGTCCTACCCAGGGACTTCCACATAGACACTGACTGTCCTTCAGACACCCAAACCTCTCAATTCCTCACCCTGCTCGCCTCCACCCCTCTTGGGCATACACAAAGATGGCCACACGCTGGATCTTTGCATCCCCCACAAACGTAGCACCTCTGTGGTTACTCACCTGTGTGGTCTAGAATTATGGAATCCCCTTATCCAACCACGATCTACTGACTTTCCCCCTCTCCCTCTGGCTCCCCTTACATAACCCTGCCCTCCCTGACCCCTCAGCCTTCTCCCTGCACCAGCCACCCCCTCCTCTTCTCCCCATCTGGACCCCTCGGGAAACCAGCTCAGTTTTACTGCCCTCCTCTTATGAATCTACCTTTTATTGTATCTCCCCATGCCCCCCAAGCCTCAGCCTTGACTCACTCCTACCATTCATCTCCTTCACACATACACACGATGGTGAATGAAAGTGGAGAAAACCAGGCTCTGACCCCCCCTCCACTGGGCCCTCCTGCTCCCTCCCTCATCAGCTCCCTCTCTCCCTCCCCACTCTCTCAGCTGAGACCCTGCCTCCTATTTTACAGAATCCATGGAGGCCATTCACCATGAGCTTCGCCCTCCTCCCCCATCACTGGCCCACTGTGGCAGAGGAGCTATTGGGCAGCCCTCCTGAGGATGCACAGGACAGTTCTGATTCTCAGATGTTTCCCTCCCCTCCCCAGCAAACTAAGGTAGCAAACTGGCCAAAATCCCCCAGCTCAGAAACAGCCACGAGGTGGATCTGAGAGAGTCCATTGGCCCAGGTCTGGGAGCAATGGGTGACTCTCGAGGGCGTCCTCAGGGGCCCCAGCGCAGAATCCCAAGGCCGCAGATGTGAGTCCCCTCCTCCTTACAGCCCCTCCCAAAGGCAGAGAAAGGGCCTGGCTTTCCTTGGGCCTGCTGCCTGATGTCTTTAGGCCAAGGGTCCCCCCAAAGGCCTCAATTACCAAGAAGAAGCAGCAACCATGGGGTGACAAGGGGGAATTTGGAGTCGAGATTGGGGGGAGAGGAGAAGGGAAGAGAGAGGAGGGAGGAGAAGAGAATGAGAGAGAGAGAGAGAGAGGGGGAGGGGGGGGGGGGGGGGGGGGGGGGAGGGGGGGGGGGGGGGGGGGGGAGGGGGAGAGAGGGGGGAAGAGGAGGGCTGTGTCCAGGACCCTGCCCACTAGCAGGGTCAGCTTCCCCTGGCAGAGCTCACCTGGCATCCTGAAGGCAGGAAGGAGGCTGCTGTCTCTGGGTGGTGGCCGTTCCCCTCCTGAGGGTGGGCAGGGATCTGGGGAGTGGGTGAAGCTAGGGAGGAGACAGGGCAGGTTCAAGGCCACAGCCTGAGGCCTCCCCCATCTGCTCTGCCAGCCGCCAGTCAGGGCCTTCTGCACCAGGGCATGGCAGACAGGGCCGGCCCATCTTGTCCATACTCTCCCAAGTGCTTGGGCCAGGAAGAAGAGATGTGACCCTCCCTCCTGCTCTCACCAGGATGCCCCAGAAATGCCCATGAAAAGGTTGGGAGCCCATCCTGGCCTTCCGCTCCAAGAGCCCCCTTCTCCTCTGGGTCCTCCAAGGGCAGCTCCCTGGTCCCTCCTTTGCCCTGCCCACCACGCCCCCCACCGCTCCCTGCATGGAGCAGCGCCATGGCCACTCTGTCACACACTTGTTTCGTGAGGCCCGCCAGGCTCTTCTTTGACGTCTTGGCCTGCCTCCTCTGGGGTGTCCGGCTGAGGCCGTAGAGGTGGCTCCTTCTCCTTCTGGCCTTTGCTCAGAAGGCCTTTGACCGCCGGCTGGACTCCTGGGGACTCCATCTTTGAGGAAAGTCCTTCCTGTCTCAGGAGGCGACCCATGATCTGAGGAAAACGGGAGACGGGGCTGAACCCTGACTATGAGACTTGGGGGCCCCGCCCCTTAGCCCTAAAGGGGGTGGGTGGGCCGACAGCCTCGAAGGTCAGGGGACGGAGGTCGGCCCAGCAGAGCCAGGGAGGAGCTGCGGCCCTGCCAGGGCGGCTGTCACAGGAGGAGGCAAGAGCCTGCCTGAGTCTGCTGAGTCCCCGGAAGAAGGGACACAGGGTAGTGCCCAGCCTAGATTCAGGGGACTCAGAGTGGAGGTCCCCCCAATTCCCCCAGCCTCACCTGGCTTCACCTACAGCTGTAGCTTCTGCAGCCCCACCTGCCCATCCTGTCCTCACCTGCCCCCCCAGCCTCAGCCTCAGCCTCACCTGCCCTCCCAGCCTCAGCCTCAGCCTCACTCCTAGCCTCACCTGCCCTCCCAGCCTCAGCCCCAGCCTCTGCCTCACCTGCCCTCCCAGCCTCACCCCCAGCCTCACCCTCAGCATCTGCCTTACCTGCCCCCCCAGCCTCACCGGCCCCCCCAGCCTCAGCCTCACCCCCAGCCTCACCTGCCCCCCCCGCCTCAGCCTCAGCCTCACCTGCCCCCCCAGCCTCAGCCTCACCTGCCCTCCCAGCCTCAGCCTCACCCCCAGCCTCACCTGCCCTCCCAGCCTCACCCCCAGCCTCACCCTCAGCCTCTGCCTCACCTGCCCCCCCAGCCTCACCCCCAGCCTCACCCTCAGCCTCTGCCTCACCTGCCCCCCCAGCCTCACCCTCAGCATCTGCCTCACCTGCCCCCCCAGCTTCACCCCCAGCCTCACCTGCCCCCCAGCCTCAGCCTCAGCCTCACCCCCAGCCTCACCTGCCCTCCCAGCCTCACCCCCAGCCTCAGCCTCAGCCTCACCCCCAGCCTCACCTGCCCTCCCAGCCTCACCCCCAGCCTCAGCCTCAGCCTCACCCCCAGCCTCACCTGCCCTCCCAGCCTCAACCCCAGCCTCACCCTCCCCCAGCCTCACCCTCAGCCTCTGC